TAAAATAAACATTAAAAGAAAAATATACATGGATAAAAGTTACAGTGCAGTTTAAGATGTGAATAGTTCAATTAAAAGCAGCGACAAAAATAAAAGTCTTTAGTCTGGATTTAAAAGTAGTCAGAGTTGCAGCGGACCTGCAGGTTTCTGGGAGTTTGTTCCAGATATTTGGAGCATAATAACTGAACGCTGCTTCTCCATGTTTAGTTCTGACTCTGGGGACAGAAAGCTGACCAGTCCCTGAAGACCTCAGAGATCTGGATGGTTCATAATTTAGCAGGAGGTCAGAAATGTATTTTGGGCCTAAACCATTCAGTGCTTTATAAACCAGCAGCAGTATTTTTGAAATCTATTATTTGACACACAGGAAGCCAGTGTAAAGACTTCAGAACTGGAGTGATGTGATCCACTTTCTTAGTGTTAGTGAGGACTCGAGCAGCGGCGTTCTGAATTAGCTGCAGCTTCCTAATAGATTTTTTAGTGAGACCTGTGAAGACACCATTGCAGTAGTCCAGTCTACTGAAGATAAAAGCATGGACAAGATTTTCCAAATCCTGCTGTGACATCAGTCTTTTAATCCTAGATATATTCTTTAGGTGATAGTAGGCTGATTTAGTAACTGTTTTAATGTGACTGTTGAAACTGAGGTCAGAGTCCATGACTACACCTAGATTTCTGGCTTTATCTGTTGTTTTGAACATTGCAGACTGAAGCTCAGCGCTAACTTTTATACGTTCTGCCTTGGCTCCAAAAACCATTACCTCAGTTTTATCTTTGTTTAATTGGAGAAAGTTCTGACACATCCAGTCATTGATTTGTTCAATGCACTTACTCAGTGTTTGAATTGGAGCATAGTCTCCTGGTGAAATGGTTACGTAAATGTGTGTGTCATCTGCATAGCTATGGTAACTTATTTTGTTGTTCTTCATTATCTGAGCCAGTGGTAGCATGTAGATGTTAGAGAGAAGAGGCCCCAAGATTACAAATATTACACACCAGAAAACACAGAAATATCCATGAAATAAACATACAGTAGGCTATAAACAATTAAAGGGATAATTGGGAAGGCATTACAAATGTAAATATATTTTTAAATAATAAAACAATCCCACCACCACAGGTATCTACAGGAGAAGAGGGAATTCTCTCCACAAAATGTGAATGCCCACGTGGAGAATGGAAATGCAGTCATGCGGCTGCATTAGCCATCTTTGCCATCCACAATTTCAGCTGCACGGACACCCCTGTCAGTGGAAGAAGCCAAAGGCAGCTAAACGTACACATTCAGTGGAGGAGCTATTTCCTACAAACCAATAACTCATTCAACCCGCTGACAAGAGAGCCCACCTCCGAAGATCGTGACTGGCTGAGGGACAGACTCGGGGGCAGGTTCTCAGAAATTTCTTGGCTTCTCTCCCCCGAGCCAGAAGAGGAACACTACAGCTTGGAAACACTTACTGTTCCTGAAATTATCAAATCTGTTGGGCATCAGGGACCTGAGGCAATTGTGGCAAGCATGGCATTGTCTGAGGAGCAACAGAGGGCAATTCAGGTGGCTACCACTGGTCAGCGAACCAACCCAAACTGGCATTTGTTCAGGAAAGGAAGGTTGACTGCCAGCAACTTTGGAGCTGTCTTGAGGTCAAAGCGTGTGACTGGTTCCCTTATTGCCAGGGTGCTAGGGCAACAACAGGCCCTTGATGGTGTTTTGTCTGTACAGTGGGGGACTATGAATGAATGTGAGGGCGTCAAGGCATTCACAACTGCAAACCTGACTGTCCATGAGTCAGGTTTGTGGCTCTCCCAATCAGGAGTATTGGGGGCATCTCCAGATGGTCTGGTAGGGTCTTCCGCTGTGCTGGAGGTAAAGTGTCCCTACGGAGCCAGGGAAATGACAATTAGTGAAGCATTGCAAATCAAGGGCTTCTGTGTCAGTAAGGAGGGAGAAACATTCAGCCTGCGTGAGGAACATCCTTACTGGCACCAAGTGCAAGGTCAGCTTCACCTCACTGCAAGAAAGAAGAAGAAATTAAAAAATTGTGAATCGTTTTTAATTTACATTTACTCGCCTTTGCAATGTTGTGGTTGTTAGAGTGTTAGGTTTCCTGTCAGCTCGTCTGTTGGGAAGATATAAAATATTAGTTTCATGGAAGTCACACCGTCACATATAAGAGCATTAAGACATACAGTACATAGGCTAAAACAAAACATCTAAAGATATAACCTTGCACTTTGTCTCGTGAACATTTTCACTATTTTGACATTTTTATAGATACATTGAATTAAAGAAATAAATGGTAGATGAATCCATATTGAAAATAGGTGTCAGCTGCTACACTAATTATAATAGTTATATTTCTTAATGAATTAAGATAAGATATTACTGTATTGATCCCAATTTGGGAAATGTTTGTGTTGCAGCAGCATAACAAGAAAAACAAAATATAAGTTATTATATATACAAAAGTATGTGAGGGATGGAATATTAAAATGTACATGTGATTTTACGTCCAAGAGAAGCTATGGAGCAGAGAGTTCTCTGCCAGCCAGAGGTGATTTGTTATTAGTTCAATATGTCAAACTGATTTCCCTGACTACAATCTTTAGTTACATGGTGAAACGTTATGCTGCTTGTACTAATTAGACTTATCATATAAACCACACAGGTTTTAATAGGATGTATTCATTATCTTTACTTATGTTGCGGTCTTTTCAGCAGCGCCATCTCTAAAACGGCGATACAGTCACTACCCATCATTTACATTTATTTCACCGTGACATGGACAAAAATGTAACGTCAGCTTACCTCATAGCACGAATCCACTCTCCTTTGGAAAACATTGGCCGGGAAACGATAGAACGAGCACGTTTCATGTGAAGACATGTGGCTGCAACCCGGAGCAAAGCAACAAACCATTGCGTAGCTAACTAGTAGCGCTAGCTTTAGCTAACGTTAGCTAACGAAACGAACTGCCGAGTAAAATTGGAAAACACTGGTAATTAATTATTCTATAATTTGTAAAACTACGGTGTTAAAAACGACAATTTCAAAAATACAGATTCTAATGGTCAGATATAGATATACAGATACTAAAGATAGGCAGGTACTTGCTTTCAAGCAGAACACAGGGGAAAACAAATTTAGCGGGAGTGTTTACGTGTTCGGCGTAATGACGTACAACGGCCTCGACAATTTCTGTAGTCCTATTCAGCCACTCGGTAACAACCATCGTTTTTGGAAGCCCCCCTATATCTTTGTCCAGGATAGTCACAACTTCACCAAAATCATACTCGGATACTAAAGAGGGGCTTCCAAATCCGGCAGCTACAACACCTGGTCTGCCGGATATGGAAGCCCCTCTTTAGTTTTTTACCTGCTGGGCCCAGAGTAACATGCTTTTGTGAGCACACACTAGAGGGGAACAGCAAACACCAGTATGATTTTGGTGAAGTTGAGACTCTCCTGGACAAAGTTGTAGGAGGGGTGCCATATCTGGCAGGAGAAATACCTGCTCTGCTGAACATGTTATGTAGAGAACAGTGCAGATCTTCCCTATTGACACCAGGAAAAACCTAGTCTAAAATAAGGAACATAAATATCATTACTGTTATATCATTGCTTAGTATTTGTGGTTATCCAGTATCAGACACTTGGGAAATATATCATTCAAAAGAGAGAAAAAAGCTTATTAAACTAGGCGAACGCTCAACACAGGCGATGACGTCACCTTTGCGCATCCCCGCGAACAGGGCTTCAATCTACGGCAAGGCTTCACAACACCGGTTCTCGATACCCATCCCTAAAATGACACACTGGGACACTTCCTTTAACTCTGCTAGAATAACACTTCAGACTTAACCTTAACTCTGCCAAAATAACTGATTTTAGTGTTCAGTTTGGGACGTTTGTTGCATTTTCTCCTTCTTTTCCTGTTATTTTCTCATTGAGCACAAGCCTTGAGAACCAAGTGAGGAAAAAAAGAATTAATCTAATTTATTTGTCTTCAATTTAAATAGTTTATTTTGTGTTTTTGACTTAAAAACAAGGGGAATTTGTAGGCGATTCTACTTTTTTTGTAAGAATCAAGTGTTTGTAGTTGTAATGTTGTAAATGGTATTAATTTCTGATGTAGGTTGAGTTTAAATTCCTTTTTGAGCTCTAAACACAAGGAACTACATATATTGTGATTGAGCAAGTTATGTAAAATAAACCTCACATGGTAAAAGCACAAATTATTTTATTCTAAATTTGAAACATAGAGGAGTGGTGCACTTTAAACTCCTGGCCAAAGTGAGTACTACAACAACAAACACCATAATCAAACTAAGGAATATAGAGAATATCTTCATCTGCAGCTTTAAACAGTCACTTCCTTGGTTTCTCATAAAAAAAGATCAACAGCTGTGGAAATCCTGAGTTGGATCAGTTCATTCTGATTCCAAAATGTTTCACAGCATGATAAAAGGTATCTTCTGCAGAATATTGATTTTCTTCCCCGTTACAGGATGATCCATATGTTTCCAAAAAGACATATACTTCAGGTATGGCCATCTTGGAAGCTCACATGAGATTAACATTTAAACCAAAAGTTGAATAGTACTACAACCAGAGAGATCAAGCACATGAAGAGCTTTAAAGGGAGGTCTGAATAGTGTGTGATTTGCGAGAAGATGGCATGAAAAACTTCTTATGTGATTGTTTATGCCAGTTTTTTCCTACTATTTTACGAATGTGCCATTCCTATTTTTATGATGATGTGTTTTGAAGTAGAAAATCTCTACATGGACTTGCGGACAAATAGTTTAACATCAATTTTTGAACATGTGGGAGTGATTTAACACAGTCCTCTCTAACAGAGGGCCTCAACAGACCTTCCTGCTGCCAACAGCTGGCATACAGAAGCACAAAAACAAAACACAAACACTGCATGGAGTGGCTTTTCGAGGAATAGAAAATATATTTTTCAAAGACAATATTTCTGTTGATGATTTTGATTTACCTTCCGCATGGTCATCTGCTTCTTGTAGAGGTTAGAAAATTCCTTTTTCCTCGTTGAGCCATCGTCTTCACCGCCCTCCGCGTCCTCTTCCCCTTCATCAAACCTGCAAGGTGTGACGTCAGTCTAAGGTCCACATATACTTTATGTTACAAACGTCACTAACTTCCTCCTGCCTTTCAAAGCCGTAGCCCTTCTTCCCTCCTTCGTAGAAGCCCGGCAGGAAACCGAAGGGTCCTGAGGGCTGGCTGCTCTGGGCCTTGGTCTTGGTGCTGAGGGAGCTCCCTTTCTCCAGCTGGGCTCGCACCAGCTTGGGGTTACGGCAGAAGTCACAGGCACCGGCACAGTTGGGCGTCTTGTTCCCAAAGAACTTGGAGATGGTGGTATGGCGACAACTGGTGAGAAAATAGGAGATACAGCTTGTTAAAATCTTAAAGAGGCCCTATAACTTGATAACTAACCTATAACTTTGAGCACCTGTAAAAGCGCTAACAAAATAAATCAAATCTATTATAGCTAGGGATGCTCCGATCGATCGGCCGCCGATCGATATCGGCCGATACTCACTCTCTTCTGATCGATCGGAGCTCTCTAAAAATGCCGATCGCGAGAGCCGATCGCATAACGTAAAATTATGAAGTAAAATAGGCCTACGTGACACTTTTCTCCGTGCGCGGCAAAACAAGCTCGCCAAAATGGCTTCACCAGACTGGCAGTATTTTAAGGTGTCCGAAAATTACAATAAAATAGCGCTATGCAACGTGTCTGAGCAGAAATCCTGCAGCTCCACCCGCTGTGACGGACCGGTGAGCGGAGCAGAACACACATTAAGAGTTAGACCTAACACACTTAGCTATTTTATCTACCTCTGGAACAAGCTAAACTAGTTATAGATATATGTATTCTTCACTGTTGGGTCACTCATTACTGGATCAGTGAGCTGCATGAGACGATACTGACGGGCTGTCAGGAGAGAGAGAGAGGGGAAGAGAGGAAAAGAGAGCGCTTCCGCTAATTTCTCCCGTGTTATTATCCCAAGTTAATGTAAACTTGAATAATGTACTTCATTTGAATGTAATAATTATGTTGGTTGTTGTTTGTGGAAGCCCCATTAACTGAGCCCCATTAACTGAGCCCCATTAGCTGAGTTGTAAACATCACTTTAAATCAGGGGTGGGGAACCTGCGGCCCCCGGGCCGTATACGGCCCGCGAGACAATTTGGTACGGCCCTCGAGGTAATTTATGTACACACGCAAAAAAGAAAAAAATTAAAGAAATCCAAACCGTAAAAAAATTATAAACAAGCGAGTGCCTGTTTTTCCTGGCCAAGGTCAGGGTCCTTGAATACAACACGAGCCTAACGTGTCATCACGTGGTATATGTCTCGTCTGACACAGAGCAGTGGTGTAGTGCTGACGGAGAGCACCAGAACGCGGCTCCGGCACTTCCAAAAATTGCAGTACCCATAAGGAGCCGTACACATGTCTTAGTTGTAAGCCCAGTGGCGATCTGTTCATCTGTCATACTGATCATACAGTCAATAACTTTGTTGTTATTAGCATCTGGTTAGCTAGCTATGCTAACGAATATAAGAAGCTTTTTCTACAACCAGTGAGGTAAAGGCACATCTTTATATGATCATTATAGTTATAAAAAATAAGAGAATAAAGTAAACAGGTATAAAATACAATATGACAGTAAAAAAAAGTTGTTATTAATAAAGAAGAATACAGTTTGAAAGGGGAGTGATTTGTAAAATATCGATAAAGAAAAGTAAATCTGCTTAGAGTTCTGTTTCATATGGGTGTTGAGAGATGTTTCCATAGATCTCCTAATGTTGCTCTCAAAGTGCACCAGATTGATGCTTTTAACTTCAACATTTAAAAAAAAATCTTCCCGGGGGAACATCCCCCGGACCCCCCGAGAGGAGGTTAGGTCCCCCCCACACTTAAATCATGTCCACATGGATAGGAAGCTAAATACATTTGTCCACATCTTTCTGTTTTGGTGGTCACGCCACAACCGTGCACGTGCATGCATGCGCGAGTCATGGTAAGATATCTGGATTAAAAGGTTGCTTGTTCTTTGCACAGCATGAAAGAAAGGCGAAATGAATGGGCTGTATTTAGTATTTTTAAGCAGAGGTCAATAATTTGTACGGCCCTCGGACGATGTTGGACAAATTGAAATGGCCCTTGAGGGGAAAAAGGTTCCCCACCCCTGCTTTAAATGGAAGATGGGGGGGATTTGTGAGAGAGAAACTATTTTGGATTGTAGCCTTTGCAGACCATTCACATGCTCACAAACCTATATAACACTAAAGGGAAACCCCTACGAAGCTTAATAGGGCCCTTTTTATACAAGTCAGGATATTAAAACAGCTCCTGTGAGTTAAAAAACATTCACAGTCTGAATTTGGTTACAGAGTCTGCATTTACAAGGTCGAGCCTGATGATGTTTTTGAGCACACAGCAAACTTCTCTATCATACGGGGACCATCTGGGGCATCTTTGATCTGTTAGCTGTTGTGTAACCACACAATACTGTGATCAATGTTTCTGTTATTTTTCAAGTCAAACAGGATCAGTCCAATAAAAAAAATACAAATGACTGAAAATAAACAAGCTACAGTAATACACACAAAGTTATTAGCTATAGTATTGACTTCTTTGTGTACTGATAACAAGAACAGATAGTGCAAACTTAATCTATTTTGGGAGGTAATTTGTCTTACTTTCCTGTATATCCAGGGTTGTTTAGGACACAATGCAATTATGTTTACCATCACAGCTTTAGATGCAAAAACATTTTTAGAACAAGGCTACACACTTCTACATCAGATCCAGTGTTACGTATAGGGTTGGGAACCGAAACTCGGTTCCAGATGAGAACCGATAAGAAAATGCCGGGTACCCATACAAAATACACAATTTCGGTTCTGCTTAACGGTTCCTAAACGCGGTAGACCCTGTATTCCACCGGGTCCGTCTGTGCCGCGGTGACCTGTGGAATACAGGGTAAGGGCAGACTGGCCATCTGTGTGTTCTGGAGAATCACAGAACGGCTGGTCGTCAGCGCAACTTACATGATGCCGTTTAAAAAAATGAATGGCGGTGCCGGCCGTCAGCGAACCGAGCCGGCCGGCACCGCCCTTCATTTTTTTAAACGGCATCATGTAAGTTGCGCTGACAGGCGACAGAGGTCCACAGTTGCCATGCAGAGAGGCTCCCCCCGCCCTCCCGTAGACAGTTCACGAGCTCAGTCACTTCATAACACCACAGATGGATCGCGGTAAACGTTCTAAAGTGACGCTCCACTACACTAAAAAAGAAAAAGACAAGGCACAGTGTAATGCCTGTTAATAGCTTGCCACAGGCATAGCTCAGTTCAAATAAAGCACAGCTATTGTGCAATACATTTGTATTTCATGTATATTTTTTATTTGTAAAAATGTCAGTTAAAGCTTAAAAGAATAAAGATATTTTTGTTATCTAAACGTTTGACCTCTTTCTTTTACAATTTTGGAATCGAAACGGGGAATCGATAAGAACCGGAATCGATAAGCAGAACCGGAATTGATACATTTCAAACGATACATTTCAAACGATACCCATCCATAGTTACGTAACAGCCAATAATCACACGACCACACACTCTCACATAGCGTCTGTTTGGGAAACAGCCCATTAGAGAAGCCACTTCAATAACATACTAACGACCTCGCTGGAAATGGAAACGTCGTCTCCACAGTCGTGAAAAAAAGGGAAAAGCATTTCCAACAAAAGGAGGTGGGGAAAGGAAGGAGGCACACAAAGACTGAGAGGCAACAGTCACTCCCAGACGAGGACTGGCACAGAGAAAACAGCCTCAGAGGAAGTAAAGTTAGGAGCAACCAACAAGCGTGAATAAGAAGAGACGAGCAAGAAACCAGAGGAGCAAGAAGAGATTAAGAGGACAGGAGATTTAATGTTATGTGTCCTCTCACTTTTGCTCGACTCCACATGCAGAGTATCATCCGTACCTGAGGAATTATCCCTCTAGCCTTAATCTCTACCTGCTTATCTCCGGCTGCTCTGGGTTTCAACAACAAACTAACACGCTGACAAATTCAACACTCAGCAGGTAACTCCTTCGGGGAGGACATGTCATGTTCATCACTGCCTCCTCCTCATCAACTCGTCTGTTTACTCCTCTCTTGTATTTTTTTCTGCCAGTCAGTCTGGGCTGGGCTGAGCGTGTGAAAACAACTCTCTCGGGTAAGTACATTTTGTTTTGAGTGTGTCTGTAAAACATGAAGTTTGAGAAGCGAAGCACCTGAGGAGGACTCAAGGTTAGGAAGAATGTGAAGAATGTGTTCAGAAATACAGAGTTGTTGCTAGGTGCTAACACTCGGAAGTTAAACCAGCGTGTTACTAAAATATAACTCTGTAGTTTACCAATTGCATTTAAGTAGGATGTTTAAGGAGCTATACACTAATTGAAAATAAAGAGTGGGTCAAATTATGGTTGAAAAGGCAACGCTTCAAGTATTTTGTCAGACAATTACAATTATTTAAAGTATGAATTTAACATAAAAGGATGAAAACAGGAACTCAAATGAACACGCAACCACAACTGACTGTGCAGAAATTGTCTTTATCAGTCATTGTCAGCTGCCACTTTCGCTTTCCAACTATCTGACTTTTTTGTAACTGATAAGAGCTTGTGGTTTGATATCTGCATGTTCAGGAACTCAAACTACCCTTCAAAATGACATATAATGCCATTTAACAGTAATGCAGTAAATCTTCATGTAGGTTATTGTATTCAGTTTCTTTTTGAACAATTATACAGAGGTGCTGACTCAGCTTTATGTCATGTTGTTTAACAACGTTTTGCTGGGAGGCAAACAAGTAAACTGGCAGGTGCTAGCTATTCATTACACAAGAAATTAAACTGACCTACAGAGCAATGCAACACAGGACAAAATCACTTTTTTGACCAAATCACATAACGTTGTTTTGATTGGTTTAAAGTCTTTGAATCTTTAAACATACAGACAAACTAAAATCTCTTTTTATCAATAGACAAAATCAGGATTATTGAAAATGTAGTAGCATGTGTGCATGTCTTTATTATAAGACTTGTCATAAGATCACAGATACCTAACTGTGCTCCATGTAGTTTCTGAGATATAGCTAGTTTCTTTTCATACTAAATGAAGTGTTTCTCTGTCAATATAAAAAAAGAAATCAGTCGTCCCATGTGATATAGATCTTGTGCTTAAAAAGTCCAGAGCACTTAAAGTTTCCATCCAAGAAATAGTCAGACCCATAACCCATTACAAAATAATGTTTAAGCTTTGTTTTTAAACAAGTTGAACATATAACATATGTGTTAAAAGTGAGCTCTTGAGTAGTTGACTCCTTTACTTTTTGACAGAGATGGGCTCAAATGTTCCCCTTTTTACAGTCTATGTGCTAAGCTAAAAATAAGCTAAGCTAAGCTAGCTTGACGGTGTCTTCAGCCAGCTAACTACACATTGCACCGAGAGGACAGTAGTATTAATCTTCCCCAATTGTTAAACAAGTCCTTAAACAATGAACTATAATCTATCATGAAGTGTTTGTATTGAGTAGGTAATTGTATTATATTTTATGATACATTTAATACAGCTAAACCAGCAAATAGCTGAGCAGCAGGCTGTCACACCCAGAGCCAGTGATTTACCTCAGAGCACAATAACACATTCAACAGTTCATCACGTATAACTTGACACTTGGAACCCCACCCTTTAAATGAAATAACACACAAAACAGATTTTACACGTTAAATGAGACAGGTGCCTTTCTGTTCAGTTGAACACATAGAAGGACTGTTTTTCTTCCTTTGTTAAAAAAATATTTACAGAAAGTCTGAAAAGGGTTAACCTATATTAGTTATGCTCAACACCCTGAACTACCCCCTGTATCATTATGCTACTAAACAGACTCACTCTTCTTGGTAATAACAACCACATGGTTTAATCCTGCGCAATCCAAGCCGATAAAACTCCCGCCCTACTTTCTCAATCTCATCCTCCTACTTTCCCTTGAAAAAGGAACCTACTGATTTAGAAAAAGCACACAATTGCAGACGAATAGCTTAAAGTTATGTGCTTGTGACCACTCCCTAACAGGTCACATCCTGATGCCAATGAACACAGGCAAAAAAAAGACACACTGCTATAACCAAACCCAGGCATGAACTTCTCACTGTAAATGAGGGTGGCATGATTTGAAAAAAACGACAAATTCCCATTGATTTGACTGATATAGCAATCGCCATATGATTATTATTATCATGAAGTCTGGAGCTCCACGATACTTCATTCAAAATGTTGTCTCAACACATATTTAGACTTTAACATCTTCCTGTGATCTGATTATTGCACTTGTCCATTTTACGATTTCAATACTATTTCAATTAATTCTGCCGCCCCACCTACTCTAAATGCTTTCACTTCACTAGGATGGATGCCAGAGAGGAGACGCTGAGCATCCTGAATAAAATATGGGTAAAGCTGCAAGGTCTGCCCAACGCCACCCCGATAGAGCTGGGAGCTTTCTTTGTCATCTTAACCTTCATCTGTGGGTCTCCACTCTGTAATATTACTCTTTTCTCTATTTCATTTAAGAGTGACCCGGTGCTGATGTTGTTTTTTATTTGCTCTACCGCAGTGGTTTTCATCTTAATGGCAGCGCTGACCTGCGTGACCTGCTGCTGCTGTCGCAAAACCAAGACCAGGGGATCTATTCTTTGAGCAATTGTGCTCCACACAAAGAACTGAGGATGGTGCAAAATGGGCTCAAAACACAACAACAGGTTTTCTCTACGGCCTGCGAAAGCCTTAAGAATCCCTAAGAATTAAATATAACTCTGACTGAGAGTCATGTTCATATAATTAATAGGCATTCAAAACATTTCAGAGAGCAATATACAGGGTGTGTTTAGTGGCCTTAGAGAAGCCCAACCCTACAACACAGCTGTGAAACACAGAGGAGGACCAAACACACCTGCTAAGGCTGCCAGCATTTCAGGAGAATCTACATTCCTGGGAGCATCCCTGGGCTTTAAAGGGGAACAACAATGCTTCTGAAGCCAAGAACACCAAAATATCTTAAACAATGCAGGCAAATACGAGAATAAGAGCTACAGAAAATGTGTGAAACGATTAAAAATCACAGTGAGTTGCAGCCAAATGTGTTTCTCTAAAGGTAAATATGTGTCATTGTTAAGAAATGAGAATTGGCAGGCAGAAATAAGTAACATGTTCCTAAGGGAGGCTTCACAACAAAGCGAGATCAAGTCTGCCCTCTGCTGTGCACAAACAGAAATGTCTATTTTGAAAAGCACAGCATGCATGTAATGGAAGTTGTGTCATGTTATGTTATGTGCAAAGGGTGAAGCCGTTATGTAATGATGTTGTACTTTTTACTACATTTTCTTTAGCAATAAACGAAGAGTGACTAGCATGCACGTGTCTGAATGCTTTACTCACGCTTCCTGAACACAGTACGCCACCATGGCATCAAAGTCTGTGATGGTTGCTTTGTCAGTCTCCTTCAGAGAGCCACGTTTCCCCTGTAGAAAAAAGTTTAACCAATGTTCACAAACTTGATTTGCATAGGAGCTCTTCACATTTTGAGTTCTCTCTTGTTGTTCTCACCTGTTTGCGGGAAATCTCTTTGCGGATGAGGAAGTTCAGTTGCTCCTTATCTTTGGCGGAGTAGTATATGCGACAGGAGGAGGGCAGGCCGTCTCTCCCGGCTCTTCCTGACTCTTGGTAGTAGCTGGCCAGGGACTTTGCCAAGTTCCAGTGAGCCACAAACCTGCAGGATAAACAAAACATCAGCACATGCAAATGTAAACAAAATTGAACATCAAATCCTTGTTGCTAACAGGAGGACACTGGGATTCATAATGGAATGATTATAAAGGCTGCATAAAAAAAGGAACTGGACTGTGTGACATCCCAAAATAATATGATATGGCTTCTTTAAAATTAGGAATTTTTGAAATATTCTGGTATATGGACATTTTTCCTAAGTATATTGGACTGTATTATTGTAATATGTAGGATGACCTTATATATAACCCATCTTTTATTTAATGTTTGTTATATCTGTGTTATTTACGTTCTCAGATTTGATTTCTTTACGTTTTGTTTTTCATATTCTCATGTTGAATTTCTTGGATTTGAGACCTTCTACATGTTTTGACCCCTTGTTAAATAAACTGTTCATCTAAATTGAAGTACTAATGGATGCAAAGGGGAATGTGAGAAAATAACTAATAAAGAATACGTTAAAAAAAATAAAACTAGTTGCCTCACCTGACATTGGCCTTGTCCACGCCCATACCAAAGCTGATGGTGGCTACGATAACCAGCACCTTCCCTTGCATCCACTCATTCTGGGACTCTGTGCGATCTCCTGTCTTCAGACCTGCAGTATAGAAGCAGAACACGAGCATTTTAGAACAAATCTTCGTGTTTTATGACTCTACAACTACATGGAGGAAAATCAGTCCGACCTGCATGATAAGGTTTGGCCGAGACTCCGAGCTTGGTCAGCTGGTGAGCCACCGATTCACAGCTATCCCTGGTCCGACAGTACACAATCCCACAGCCCTGTTCATAAGCATTACAGAGGTTAAACAAACCAGGGCTCTTATTCTCATGTTAGAGGGAAAATCTTCCCTACAACACAGGTGACGTGCAACAGGATTTGTAAGCTTTAATAAAGAAAACATTAAGAGAAGAGTACCAACATTTATAGTAGACAGTTTAAAATGATACATCACCACATTTTACATAAACGAAAAATGTATTCTTTAAACTTGGTTGATATATCTGGTATATATCTAGCTTATTTATCAATCAGGCTCTCAATACAGTTAAATGATCTGGAGCATGCATTTAAGTTCAGATATTTATGTTTCCATCCTTTTAATAAGCTGTTCTTTGTCTACCTCTCCAACATGATTTCAATATACACTTCCTTTCAAAAGTTTCAAACCTGTACAATTAATATGTTTTCTTCTTTCCAGCTTGTTATTTGAATTATAGTGTATTTGACACTGAAACAAAAACAGGTTTCCTAAATCTGAACGCATTTTAATGCTAAGCTTCCGATGTATTTAACCAACAACTAGAAATTCCAAAGCCAAACCTTTGCTGCATTGTAAATGTCAAAAAAGTAAGATGAATGAGGGCTTGTACTTATTGATATCCCATAAAGAAAAGGATCAATTCTAAACAAACAATCCCAACCTGTCCTTTAGAGCCGCTGTCCAGGGCCAGAGATTGCTGAATGAAGGCGTGGAGGTGGACGAAGGGGTTTGGCAGCATCTCCCTGAAGATCACATCGTAGTGCAAGTTACTGCGGAAGACAGGTGTAATGAAAGACAGCGGCGTGCGCAGAGTCAGAGACAAAACAATGTCCTCTTGTACATTCTTGGGTGCTGTAGCTGTCAGGGCCAAACAGGGAACCCCCGGCATTCGAGCACGCAGTTTCCCCAGTTTGAGGTAGTCCGGCCTGAAGTCGTGTCCCCACTGGGAGACGCAGTGAGCCTCGTCCACAACCAGGTAAGACAGCAGGCCACGGGTGCACAGGTCCGTCAGGCAGGGCTTGAACGAAGGAGAGGCAACCATCTCCGGAGTGATGTAAAGCAGCTTGAGCTTAGGACTGCTGCTCCCTAAATCAGCAAAGATCAGCCGGCGCTCGCCTGCTGGGAGCTTGGAGTTGATGGAGCAGGCGGGGATGTTCAGACTCTTCAGGTGGTCCACTTGGTCCTGTGGAGAAACAAATGAATGAATTAAACAATGGCGGAAAAAGGATTCAGATCCTTTACTGCACACTGTGAAAATACTCCTCTACAAGTAAAAGACTTGAATTCAAAGCCCTACATGAGTAAAAGTATGTACTTAAAGTAGGGCTGTCCCGAATACCATTTTTCGGGCTCCGGATATTCGGTAAAAATCAGCTGCGAATATTCGGCGGCGCAGGAGAGTTAGCGCTGTTGACAGGAAGTTTGTGTTGCTATGGAAACAACGTGACGGAGAAAAGTAATATCTACATATAAAGATGGAGAAAGTAAACGATAAACGTTATGGTTAAGTGTTAGCACCCCCCGAAGAGGCACAAGCTCTTACGTTGATATTGGAGATTTCAATCAATTCAATTTAACGAAAAAAATAATAATAACGAATATCCGAATAACGAAATTGAAAACCGAATAGTACTCCAACGACCGAATATTCGGGTACAGCCCTATCTTAAAGTATGAACAAATATTCCCAATATATACGCAAATAAATAACAAGAACCTCTCATTTGTATTTAAATAGAGTCCTTGAGTAAATGTACTTTGTTACATTCCACTACTGTGAGTGTGTCTCTGCCTGCCACAGAATGAGGCAATCGAACATCTCACATCTATTTTTTTATTTTATATATATATATATTTTTTAAATTAATGTATGATATGAATTGAATGAATGTTCATGTCTTGTGTTCCTTGTAAAAAATACAAATAAAAAACATATTCTTGCTTTTGTTCAAAATGTAACAGTCTGTTTATATGTATGTATTTGTGTATAGATGTTGCAACTATACAGAGCTTTAGCAATACTGTGTGTAACTATGGTCATGCTAATAAAGCTATTGCATTAAAAAGGTACTGTTTGTCATCAATATATTATAGGTCTCAGATATAGCAGCATCCCATAATCCCCTCTGTTTCAGCCCTGTTTCAAAAGTGCTGATTCTCTGTCTGTTACTTTAGATGAAAATAAGGAGCCCCTCCCCACGCCCCTCTGAGAGATATTTGGTTAAAAAGAACACAATAGTGCTCTAGGAGGAGATTCAGGTGATAAGGGGGGGGGGGGGTTACCTTTGGTTGGTGATTGGCTAATGATTACACAAGCCAAAAAAACGTTATGACATCATAAAGTGGCCAAAATCTGATCAGCTCATTTTCAGACAGGTTTTTAAATAAATGGATCAGGAGAAAAAGTGAGCAAATCTTTTTTCGTGAAACTTTCAGAATCTCTTTCCACAGAGGGGACAGATGTTGATGTAGAAAAGACATGAAAAAGTGGATTTTGCATCATAGGTGACCTTTAAGACATAATTGAGAGTGCACAATGCGCTGGAGCAGCCCAGTCAGACACTGACCTGAATGAGAGCGATTAGCGGGGATATAACCAGAGCGATACCCGGAGCCAGGACCGCGGGTAGCTGGTAGCAGAGCGACTTCCCTGCTCCCGTGGGCATGCACACAAACACATCCTTATCACCTGCAGGAAACACACAAAAGACCCAACAATGCAACAAATTAATCTCTCTTTCTGAAAACACTGCATGTAAGATATCATTCAAACCGAGTCTCACATGTAAACAATAACACGACGTAACGTGAGTTAAATTTGCATGCATGCTGCTAAAAGCCCGCTAACGTTTGCTAATTATCGAAGAGAAACACAACAGATAAACTGTCTTACCTTTGACGACGGCTTTAACAACATCCTCCTGTATTTTAGATCGAAAGTTGTCAAACCCAAAGTGCATTTTTAAGGCTTGTGTTATAGTTGTTGTTGTTGTCATCATGTATCTCTCTCATGGATGTATGATAAGATCTCTCTGTGGAGAACTCAAACTCTGTGGTGACGTCGCACACTGATGACATCATTAGAGTAGCGAGGAGGAATAAAACCAGATTTTTTTATTTTGTGTTTGTGAATACATTTTATTTATTTCATAGCCCATTGTATTTGTTGTTTTATATTTGGTTTATTTGTATTTTATTATTATACAATTAGTTTAAAAAAAACTATTTTAGTTTTTTCTATTAGTTTTAAGATGAGAGTAACACCTGCGTCACTTCCGGGCATAAATTACAGCCCCGCCCACTTTTGGGGGAAACCAACGCTGTCATTTGAATGGCGGTCAATACAAATTCTGAGGTTTTTGCCAATCCGATCAAATTTTTGGGAAAACCGTGGATTTTTGGATCTTCAAATAGCTCGATTACGATGGCCAGTCAGGCAAACAATTACATTCGATCATTGGTAATCGACAATCGGTCTTGATATATGGTTAAATTAAAATCAGTAGGCGAGGCTGTAATTTCTCCAGCTGTTACTCTCATGAGCGAGGCGGAACATAATAGTTGTATCATGCCAAAAAGCTGCTGTGTCGTTTATTGCACCTCAAACATTAAAAATAATCAAGAGTTCAGTGTTTCTGTACTTCCTCTAAGAAGAAAGGACAGTAAAGGAAGAGCTCTGTGGCTTCAGGCTCGATCGTCATTCAAATGACAGCGTTGTTTCCCCCAAAAGTGGGCGGGGCCGTAAAGTGACGTAGATGTTACTCTCATCTATGAAAATCGATAGCCTACTGCTATATTTAACCACATATCGAGCCCGATCATCGATTTCGAATGGCTTAATGCAATTGTTTGCCTGTCTGGCCATTGGAATCGGGCTCTTTGAAGATCCAAACATCTCTGATACCAATGCATGTCCACCAGCTGATAACAGCTGGTGGACATGCATTGGTATTTTATCCAAAAGTTTATGGACACATCTGTACACAACTGAAGTGAGGAATTCTTAAAACTATTAAACAAGAGGTAAAAAATAAAGGAACCCAGCTCAATGTCCTTTTCATGTAGGTGTTTGTTTGTTATGGTACATTGTTCTAAACATGTACAAATTATTTGAGCACAAACACTGTAAGGCTGGAGTTATGGGGACTCAGGGCGGTTTTTGAATGGTAATTGAGCCACAACCAGAATTACATATAATCCTTTCATGTAGTCAGAATCGTTCTCCTTCAATGTCTCATCGTGTTAAATCATGTGTTTCCTCCCTATTTTACAGTGACATGCATCCCCCAATTTCAACTAGAATTGAAAATGAAGATAATATGGTGAGGCTGATAACTGAAACCTCACTTTTTTATTTACTTAAGATACTATAACCTGTCATGGAGATTGTGTGATTATGTACAACATACTTTAGCTCTCAGGTGAGATTACTCTTTATATCTAAAGGTGGACCTATTCATGTTATGGAAGTAGTTATCTACTTTACTTAAAAACAAGACAGACCCAAAGACATGTATTTGGTTTATTTATCATTCACAGAAATGCATCAGAAATGCAGGGTTAATATTGCACATAACATTACAGTAATACTACAGGGTTGTTCTTTTAAATATATGAAAATACATTATGTGAAGGCAAAGAATAGCACTGTAACTCTATAGTGAGGAAGTGTTTGCGACGATTACGTTAAAGCATCAGAAGCAGCATAGAGAGTGGTCACTTAGTGGAGCTATCAATAATGGTCTTTAACATCAAGCTCTCTGATTCCTCCCAGTGATAATTATATAACCATTTATCACACTTTAATATGATATCTACTGGATTTTAAAGGAAGAGTTGGGGGAGCTCAACCCCAGATGCAGGGCGAGGGGCAGAAACGTTGGGTTTTAACTGCTGGAGACTTGATCACCAGATCATTGATGATCTCCACAGTACCGAACAGCGGGTACAACTTCTCTTTGAAGCACTCGTTGTAGGTGTAAATGTGGATGTGTTTGTCCACGTCATAGAAGGACAGCTGGCCGCGGTCGTAGTCGAGATAGATGCCCACCTTTTCGGGGATGAGGTAGGGCGGCAGGGAGGTGAATGGCACCGTCAGCGCCTTCAGCTCAGAGCCCCTCTCCAGCCTCAGGCTCAGGTAACCCGTATCTGTGTTCAGGGACTTGAAGCCTTTCCTTAGGGCAGACTCTTTGGCCACGCCCAGCCTCCAGTCCCGCTCTCCAACCTCCGCCTCCCAGTAGTGGCGGCCGGAGCCCAAGCCCTCCATCCCGACGGCACACCACCAGCCGTCGAAGCGCTGGTGGAAGTTGGGAATATCCTTCCTCTCGAAGCCACAGCGCATCCGCTTCTCGTCGGAGGAGATGAGCAGGTCAGGGTTGGCAGTGTCCAGATCCAGAGTCACCTCCACTAGAGAGAAAAGTAACATGGTTCAAATGACATACAGGTACAGTGCAGATTAAAGTTTATACTTATAATTTGATCAAATAAATACTCTACCTGCAGCCTTTGAGATCCAATCCCACACTGCAAAAAAAACAGAGGGGCTTTAGCAATAATAAAACACCTTATTTGTGGAGCACCATTCATACAACACATGCAGTACAGAGTGATTAACAATGGAGAAACTAGACATTGGATTACAAATAACTGAGTATCAAATTAATGGAACACAAGATGGAGATAAAAAATAAGATGGTAGAATACATATAATGGAAAATAAAACCAAATAATGTTTCTCTTTTATTCTCTTCTTCTTTGTTCTTAACATCAGTGGTAACATCTCATTTTGATGGTTACAAATCAAACATAAGCTTGCCAAACCAATAATGGTCCGTACAAAGAGCACTGAAATGTTGATCTCTACATCAAGTGTTTTAAAACCCATCAGTGGTTGTATGTAATGTTTTGTATGCTAATATACAATGTCACTCACCTGGTTGAGGAATGTAGGATATGCTACCTGGATGGAGAGAGTAACAGACTCATAAGGATTGACATTTTCCAGATTTATAACAGAAATAATATTGATAAATGTTTAATTTAATACCAATCTTCTGAGTCTTCTGCTTCCACATGAGCCACTGGTGCGGTATGGTATCCTGCAACAACACCAAAAAAGGTTTGTTCTACAACTGCACAACAAACACAAGACCTTAAGCTGACTCTGTGAACGGTTACATATTCTTGGTCGAATGCACTTATTGTAAGTCACTTTGGATAAAAGCGTCAGCTAAATGTAAGGTAATGTAATGTTACATGGATTCTACCTTATCTGGGCGCTGCACGATTAGAGTCCAAAACACCAGCTCCATAGCGGCCAGCAGATTTGGCGCGCGGCCCCAACGCCAGGCCGACTGCAGGTCCTCCAGAGACTTAGCCACCGGCTCCCCGGGCCACACACTTTGCTGCAAGATGGTCGATATTAATAAAATATGTCTACTGAGTCAACAAAGCCAGGGTAGCAGTAAATGTTTATACTTTTCACCTCAGGCTGAGCTCTCAGGTCCTTGATCCAGTTTAGAATCACAGCTTTGGCCTGCAGCAGGTCCTGCTCATTGATCATATCAGGGTGCTTTACATCATCCATCTCTGGCCAGCCGTCAGTCTGCATCGGCCTCTTCTGCACAAAGAAACATGGCTTTAGTGGTAAGATCCTCTCTATTCAGTAAGTCAATGCATGCTTTTTTCAGATAAACACCTTGCTCTCTAGCATGGAGGCCCACTGCAGGACGAAGACCTTGCAGAGGGGGGTCGGCCAGGTGTCGTCCAGGTTCCAGATGTGCTCCAGGACTTCTGACCTCTGCAGAGGCAAGGGAGGGAAACGTGGGTTTGGTGGCAGACAGGAAATGAAGACAATAGCTAATCTTCTTTAGGGCCCTGACTTGTGGTAATTGTCCCAATTAGCTCAATACCAGGGCTAAACAATATAAGGAAAATATGTGACGATGTGGTTGAAGATCCCTATAATGATATTACTTCCTATGAAAAGCTATTGAAGAATCAGTTCTGCCTCTCTGCTGCTTTCTATGTATTGCTAAAATACAACACATTAAAGTGCACTTTTCAACTGTGCAACATCCCAGACTTTTGTGATGTGTTTATGGTGCAAGTTGGCATTGTATACATCCATATTTTTAAAGTTACAATAGTTTATTTCGTTTTTATAATTGTTATATTTCTTGTTCCTTTTCTTACAAGGTATCTTCTCTCGTCTCGGTGTTTACATGTATGTAGGCTTATGCTTCACACACACCAAAGCAAATTCCTTGTATAAGTAAACTTATGCAATAAACATGTTTCTGATTGTGCTGAGGATTAAATAACTATATATTGTAAAGCCCTCCTCAATACTCACAAGTGGGAGTCAGTGACTGTATATACGTATAGGGCAGAGTTTGGTTTTTTTTATATTAATAATTTCAGTTTTGAATGAGGGTGTATTCACCTGGCACACTCGGCTTAGATCTCTTGCCAGATCCACAATAAACAGCTGATCTTCATCCAGTGGCTCCCTCTTCTCGTTCTGCGCTCTTTTGCGTGATTCCTGTGAGAACATAAAAAATGTAATGATTTTCTCTGGGAATGTGTTTGGAAAAGGGGAGAATTCTCAGACGTTTGAAAGACATCAGTGCTGCTTTTCAAGTGCCTTTGAGAGTAATAAGGTCAAATTAGAAAAGCAGGGGGTCACTCAGCCTGATTAAAATGCACACAGAGGCTCTGTTCCTGTCAACAAGACAAAGAGAGAAAGACACCCCTTCTCTTCCAGAGTCTTTCAGAAGCTCCCTGTTGTTCAATTAAACCAGGAATGGAGAAATGTGTGTCGTCATGTGGTACACAAAACTGTTGTCGTGTCAAGTGTCTACTTAATCAACCCAAAAAACAGGTTTGCACATTAAATACATGATGTTTTGGCTCTTTTATTTTTATTTTGAATGGACTTAAATAAAGGTCTTACCTTTATCTTGGCTGTAAAGTTCTTGGCCGGCTCCAACATGAAGTGAAAACATTGCATCATCTTGGCGGGTCTGTATTAAGAGTCTGACAGAGAATTAACAC